TGATTTTTTTCGGTCCAATTTTCAGTGAGCGAGCTTTACAAGACGACACTGGCCCCAAGGGAAGCGGGTGAGTTTGTCCGGACTCAGCCCCTTCAGGTGATAGATGAAGCAGGAATGCACCTTAGATCTCCGAAAGTGTAGTCTGTGATAGAAGAAAGTCACCCACGGATGGCCACTCCGATTTCGATCGTGAAGCAGTCGAGTCGTCCCGAGCGCAGTTCGTGTTCTAGGGGTTAACGATAGAATCAAATTTTATTGACTGTGGCCAGCCGTGGTTAAACAGTTCTCGCCCTCAGGTGTCTATGCGGTACCACTCGCTCCTACGCTTCGACCACACACCACCCACCACACACACTACACACACACACACACACACACACACACACACACACAATCACACACACACACACAACCACACACACACACATACCATCATGCACGCGCGCACTCGCACCTGTAACCAATGCGCCACTACTGCAGCTCCTTGAGCACGGTGGGTGCGGTGTGCGGACGGCTGCAAAGTGCTGGCACTCAACACCAGCTGTTGTTCAGGCGGGCGTACGGGCACTGCTTGATGGACTGCCGCCACCGCCACCTGTCACCACACCACCATACCCTCCGCTTACGGCGGGGGAGGAGCAAGAGGATGCACTGGTGTTGGCGAGGATGGAAGCCGTGATGCGAGGCGATGAACACACTGATGTCGGTGATGGTGGTGATGGTGATGTCAAGGAGGAGGAAGCAGAGGGCAAGCAGGCGTTGGAGGCGCGGGGACAAGACAAGCGCAACAGCAACGGCAGAGGCAGAACCAGCAAGACGGTCAGCAGCAGCTGTGAGAGCGGTGTTGGCAACACGAACGACAGCGCCGAGAAAGAGGAAGATGATGAGGAAGAAGACGAGGAGGAGGAGGACAGTGATGAGTCCGAATCTGATGTTGGTGGCGCCAATGATGACAGCAGCGATGAGGACTACGAAGGAGAAGGAAAAGGAGAAGCGTCTTACTCCAGTGATGATGATGATGATGATGATGATGACAGTTGTGGTGAGGAGGAGCAGGAAGGCGATGGTGGTGACACGAGCACGACCACCAAACACCAGCCGTCATCACCATCATTGCCATCACCATCATCGCGTCGTGCCCCACGCCGCCGTCGCCGCACGAAGTACGAGCGTCCAGCGTGGCGACCCACCAGCGACCACATGCAGCGCGTGCGTACACTGCAGACGAAACTCAAGGCGCGCGAACGGCCGCAGCACACGCTCACGGCCGGGGATGTGCAGGTGCAGTCGCCGCGGGTCGCGAGCGCGTCGCTGCAGGATGTGATGCGGCGGTTTGGTGTCAAGTTCACGACCAGCGGGGCAGCGGTGGTGGCGAACAAGTCGAAGCATGCGCACGTGGCCACCAAGGACGGTGGCAGGGCTAGAAATGATGGTGGTGGTGGTGGTGGTGGCGGTGCTGGCAGGGTTTGCGGCACAGGCACACGACCACCACCAAGGCAATCAGCAACGACAACAACAGCAACAGCAACAGCAACAGCAGCCAGTACAGCACAAGCAACAGCTATGACACCGGCCGATCGTAAGCGACGAGGTGGTGGTGGCGGGTTTGCGTTTGGCAGTTCCACGTCGCTCGCAGCACTGTCAAGCATTTCCATCGATCGCACATGCTTGCACAAACCAGCAGCAAACGGGGACAACGATCCAAGTGCTGGTGATGCAAGTGTTCGTGGTGGTGGTGGTGGTGGTGGTGGTGACAACAGCAGGCGAACACATGCACGTGGAAGTGTTGGGGCCACAACCACCTCCGAGCAGCACGGACAACAGCAGCAGCAGCCGCGCAAACAGCGGCAGTTTCGTGACGGCCGTGGGAATGAGAGCAGATTCGGGCGCATGCACGTGCGCACTGAGACCGACCCCAAGACGAGGCGTGACAGCAACACGCGTGCTGGTGGTGGTGGCAGCGGTGGGCGGTGGGTGAAAGGACCGGCCCAGCCATCATACATGGACGACAGGCGACGGCAGCAACACATGGACGAAGGTCATGGCACCCGCCACTCCCGTGAACCTCACCATCACCAGTCATCTCACCATCATCGGCACCAGCATGATCACCACCACCACCATGATCATCAGCAGTCATCTCACCATCACCATCGTGACCATCGTGACCGTCAGCAGCAGCGGCAGTCTGGAGCGCATGGTGGTGCCTCACAGCAGGCCCACAAGCGGTGGAAGAGCAGTGACGCGCACGCGTCGCACATGACGCATGCACGCCACCATGCGCCAACAGCCTCTCATCAGCCCGTGGGTGGTGCCACAGAGCACTTCCACCCAGAGCGACAACAACTCCTGCAGCAGCAGCAGCAGGAGGAATATGAGGGTGAGCACATGCATGCTTCTGGCCCTTACAATGAACAGCAACACCGTGATGGTGACCGCTGCCATCAGGCCTCAGTCCACGACAACCCGTATTTCAACGCTGCGCATGCTCGCGTGAATGCACAGCAGCCATCGTACCCGTATCCGCCCCACACCACCGCCCAATACGCTGCTGACCAGTACACGGACTACCATCACCAACGCCCACACCACCAAGACCAACGCCAGAACGAGCACAAGGAGTACCAGCAGCATGTACATGCTGCTCATTATGACAGCGGGCAACGAGTCGGGTACACAGCACCCCACCACGACTACCAGCACCAGCAATACAACTATCCACCGTTCGGGCACGACCACGCACACGTGCACCCACAAGACTACGGCAACCAGCAGACACACTGGTATGGGACCGCTGGCACCCACGATGCTGTTGTTTATGGCGACGATAATGGTGGTGGTGCTGGTTATGGCGTTGGTGTTCATGGTGATGACGGTGCTCCTCGTGACGGTGCTCGTGATGATGATGGTGCCTATGATGGTGCCAATGATGGTGCCAATGATGGTGCCTATGATGGTGCCTATGATGATGACGCCCGCGCCAGCCGCGTCGCCGCGTCCATTCAACTCCTCAACGACCTCCTGTCCTGAACTCATGCGTGTGCATGTGTGCATGCGTGTGCATGTGTGCATGCGTGTGCATGTGTGCATGCGTCCTCGGCCAACGCCTTTTATTCTCGGAGCTTCCCTCACCTCTATTATTGAGCACCAATCCACGTGGAGCGTGCTAACTGACCCAATGTGTGCGTGTGCGTGTGTGGTTGTGATCGTTTATTGCTTCCGCTTGTCTGTACAATTCAAGGCTAAAGGAGTCGATGATAACACAAATTAAACGAGTGAGGGTCCCCAGCTGTGGGCAACAAGTCATTTCGTACAACACGACGAAGTGGCACGAAGATGCAAAACAAGAGAGAGCGAGAGCGACAGGCACACGCACACACACACACACACACACACACACACACACACACACACACACACACACACGCACGCACGCACGCGCACACGCACACACGCACGCACACACACACGCACACACACACACACACGGAGAATAACGCGACCACACAGTGGAGCTAGGAGGCCGCCTTGTTGGAGAAGTGGATAAAGACAACCATGATGATGAAGAGGAGCAGCGTAAACACCATGCTGAGGTAGATGTAGAGGTTTGTGCCACTGGCCAGGTGCTTCTTCATGGCGGCCAAGGCCTTGTCCATATCGGCCTCTGCCGCTTCCGCAGCCTCCAAGGTCTCGTCGATGACCTTCAGAGAGGATGGAGAAAAGGAGCGGAGTGGATGAGCGATACGGTGTATGAGATCATTGGGAAGAGGCATGGAAAGCGGCAGCGCTGACACCACACAGCAAGGGAAGTTTACACACACACACACACACACACACACACACACACACACACACACACACTACAACACACACACACACACACACTACACACACATTCAAACACACACATACACACCTCTGTGCCTTGCCGCACGCTGGCGTGGGTGTTCTGGAAAACGGATTTGAGGTGAAGGACAGACTGATAAGTGTCCTGCAGAATCTCGTCTTGCAGCTTGGCGTGATCGACCTTCTTCTTGTTACTGCTTTCATCATCAGGTTCACCAAGCAGCTGGCTTCGCAACGGCAACGCACCCCTCGCCTGTTGCTGTTGCTGTTGTTGCTCTTGTTGCTGTTGCTGTTGCTGCTGTTGTGAACTCGTTTCTGTGTGAAGACTTCCGTTGTCGTCAGTGTGGGTGCCGCTTTGGCCCTTGCTTACATTGCGCCTGCGCGCTTTCACGCCTGTCAACCGATGCAGCGCACGCAGCCGTGCTTTCCTGCAGCCGAGTGGGTGAAAGACTTGGAGTGAGAACATGGGTGGGAGGAAGGGAATTGGAGGGGGGGGGAGGGAGAGGGCGGGAGGGACAGAGAGACACGCATGCACACACACACACACAACACACACAGACACACACACAACACACACAGACACACACATGCACACACATAGACAGACACACACACACACACGCATGCACACAGACACACACACAACACACACAGACACACAGACACACATGCACACACACACAGACACACATGCACACACATGCACACACACACATACACACACACACACACCCACACACCCGTTGTCCTCAACTCCGCTCGTCATCATCCTCATCATCATCGTTCCCGCTTGCTCGACTACGTTTTGTGCTGACTCGACGAAAATATTTGCAATACGGCCCTGAATTAAGGGGTTGTCGATAATTGATGAATGTCATCGCCCTTTTTCCACACTGCGCACACGAGACGAGACAAGAGCCCGAGTGAGCAGCCAACCCCCCTTGTGCTTCCACCACCACAGCCGCAGCCATGCCTGTAAGTGGTGCTCTGCTCGTAATGGGGGATAGGGATATGCCCGGGCGTGGCGTGGCGAGTGTCGACGTTGCATGTGGTGAATGTGTGTGTGTGTGTATGCATGTGTGTATGTGTGTGTATGCATATGTGCATGCTCTCTCTCTCTCTCTTTCTCTGTGGTCGAGCGTGCAATCGTTTCGCCTCTGCATCTTCATTTACACCCACGCCAACAACGCGTGTCGTTGTTTTTGTGCTACGCTCCTGTGTTTGCGCGGTGCGGTTGTTTGTCACATGCCCGCTATCGTCGCGGCCTCAAACCACACACCAACACCTTATCCAACAACACCGAACTCAAACAACACCCATTCCAACTCACCAACCTCCCACCCACCAATGTGCGCACCAGCTTGCCATCGATCTCCTGAACCCACGCCCCGAGCGTGAGGCCACCAAGCACAAGCTCAAGCGCCTCGTCCAGTCCCCGGACTCGTACTTCATGGACGTCCGCTGCCCTGGCTGCGCCTTCATCTCCACCGTGTTCTCCCACGCCTCCACCGTTGTTGTCTGCAGCAACTGCACACAGATCCTCTGCCAGCCCACCGGCGGCAAGGCTCGTCTCACAGAGGGTGCGTTTGTGCCTGCGTGTTTGTGCTTCCATGTGCGCTGACATCAAACACGGAGATGTCCGTTGAGATGGGTGGCCGTGCGTCTGTTGTGTGTGGTGCGTGTTTGATGTGCGTGGTGTGTTGTGTGTTTGCTGAGAGCAAGCGCGTGCGCGTTCGCATGCATTCTCCAGGATGTGTGTGACTTGCCCAGCGCAACGTCTTGCACTTGTGTGTTTTGTGCGTGCGTGTGTGTCGTCGTTGTTCACGCCACCGTTTCCGTTGCCCCTCTTCTTTGTGTTCTCTTCCACCGTCTCACGCTGCTTGATGTCACCGACCCACCTTTTGCGCTTCGATCACCAATATAGGCTGCAGCTTCAGGAAGAAGAAGACGTTCTAAGAAACCCCCTCCCACCCTCACGCCACTCGTGTGCGCCATCGCCATGCCAACGACCAACCCACATTTGCGCACGGCGTGCGATGGGCACATCAACACGCAATTCACAACTGTCGCTGTTTGTGTCTCTTCGTGGCTTGTGACCCTTTCGTGTGTAACCGGTGTTTCTTGCCCCCAGTTCATTCCGTCGCTTGTTCGTCCGTCTTCTTCTTCTTCTGCTTGATGCTGTCTCCTGCGTCGTGTGCGTGTGCGTGCGTGGTGATGACGGTTGTTTTGGTGTCACCGCGGCCGTGCTTTTTGGTGCTTGCCTGTGCACGGCACGGTGCCTGCCTTTATTGACTGCCTCATCACCAACACCAGACACAACACGAGTGTGTGCTTGTGTGATTGGTTGCGGTGCGTGGCTGTTGTCACTTGGTGCTGTCTGCGTCTCAACCCAGATGCTCAGCGCCTCCTGTCCCTCCAACATTTCCCGCCAATACACGAACACGCATGCATTACGAGTGGTGGGGCTGACATGAACGAGAGTTGGGTTCGGGGAGGGGGGTGCTGAAGGAAACGCTGAGCTCGTGCATTGGCACAATACGAGTTTGCGTTTATCAAAGGGCGGTGGTGCTGGCAATTGTGGCGAACCAAGGCGAAGAACGAGGGATGGCAAGTTGCACGGATGGTGCTCAAAGGCTATGTACACACCAAACAAATGGCAAAAGACACCAGCAACGTGTGCACTGCCATATCATCGCAAGCAGTTCCACGATCGCACAGCAGCCCAATTAGCGACACAACGTGGTGGAATGGTGCGCGTGAACAAAGGACGGTCCAAAGCGTTGACGCAGGGGGAGGGAGAGAGACAGACAGACAGACAGACAGACAGACAGGGACAGACATAAACGCACACATACAGACACAGAGAAATACACACACATACACACACACACACATACAAACACAAATACACAAATACACAATACGCATATATGCTAGCTGATGGAGCAAGAGGAGGAGGAGAGCTTGTCCAGATGATCGGCCGCGCGCCTCACAGCGTCCGCCCCCTCCTTCCCCAACGCCGCCAAGTCAACCCCCTTTGCCGCATCCAGCGCCAGCTGGTAACACTCCCGCGCCTTGCCCGCCCCATAGTACTGTGTGTAGCTCCCAGAGTTGGCATACAGGTCCCCAAGGCGCACATATGCCTGGATGAGGAGGAGCGTGTCGTTTGCCTCGGTTGCCATGGCTGCCTGCTGCCACCTCAGCTCCACCTGCTTGTGGAACAGCGCACGCGTCGCCCCCATTGCCGTGTCGATCGCCGAGGATACAATGGTGCCCAGCGCCTCGGCCAGGAGATGGCACGCCTGCGCCTGCTGTCGTGGCGTGCCCACCTGCTTGCACCCGGCAAGGTGCCTCTCCAGCTGCACGCGCGCCTCCGCCCAGTCGCCCATCGCCGCGTGCACGAGCCCGAGCCCGCGCCGCGCCTGTGTGATGGCCCTGCGGTCGTGTATTGTCGTGGCGATGGTGAGGAGGCTCGTGTAGCTATTCAGCGACTCTGACAGCAGCCGCTCCTCGTTCTGCTCCCGCTGCACGCCGTCCCCGCCCTTTTCCTGCGAGGTCTCCTGTGCCATGAGCAGGTATAGGCTGCCAAGTTGTCCGTAGGCAGCGCATATGAGCGGCATCTGCTTTGCCTCCTGCGCCAAAGACAGCATGTGCTGATACGCGGTGATGGCCTGGCGGATCTCGCGCCGCTGCCTGTGCAATTGTGCCACGCGTCGATATGCGTGCACCTGCGCCATCAGGTCCTCATTCTCCGCCGCCGCTTCAATGAAATCCTCATACCTGCGGTTGTGTGTGTGTGTGTGTGAAAGGGGAGAGAGGAGACGGACAGGGGAAGGAGAGGATGGGCATAGGTTGTGTGTGAGCAGATTTGCTGCACGTATTGTGGCAGCAACAGCACACTTTTGGAAGCAGGCACAACGATGTACCTGCTCATGCACATGCACATGCACACACACACACACACACGCACACATGCACATGCACACACATGCACATGCACACACACAAGCACACATACACACACAAGCACACATGCACACACAAGCACACACAAGTATACACAGTGTGGACGTACGCGGTGATGGCGGCCTGTGTGTCCCCTCTTCGGTCGAGCTCCTGGGCTACGATAAAGTGCACCTCTTGTGGCGTCGTCCCTGTGCGATGCAACCAACCCACAAAGACAACCACGTCAGCACATCGAATGATGTGACAACATGTTGCACAGGCACATGGAATGGCCACCGCGCCACCGCAAACACATCGTCAAGCACGTCCAAAAGCACGCCAGCAACGGTAATCGCACGTCCACAACCTCATGCACGCCACATGCCCACGCACCCGATGCTGCCTGTGTTGTGATGTCTGCGCTGATGGCCTCTGTGCTTGCAGGCTCCAAGTCCTCCAACACGGCCGAGATCATCGACATAATCGTCTGCTGTTGTGCTGCGATATTGGGTAGTCTCAATTTATGCTGTCGTGCTCCATCCTTGGCGACAAACGCTGGTTGTTTGCGGCAGTGCTTGCTTCTTGTTGCTTGTTGTTTGCACTGACAAGAAGAGAGGGAAAGAGGCGCAAGTCGCCTGCATTCAACGTCCTCAACCGACTGCCTGCGACTGGGAGGCGACGAGTGACCATCAGCCATGCCCAGCATTGCCACGTACCTTCGTGTTCGTCCAACCAAGAAAGTGAGCGTTGTGTGTGGTTGTGGGTTTTACATGACGTCCCTTGGTTTCCGCAGTCTTCCCTTTGCACCTGCCTCAGCCCTTCTCTCCTGTCTCTCCTCACACACACACACACACACACACACACACACACTCTCTCTCTCTCTCTCTCTCTCGTGTACACACACACTCACATGTGTCCCGCTCGCTCTCCGCTTCATCCCCCGCCCCATTTCTTGAACTGACCGGCAGCCCACAGAGGACTTGGAGGTGACCGAAGATGAACCCGACGTGTTCAAGGTTTGTCAGAAGCGTGCACACGTGTGTGGAGGCACGCGCGTGTGTCTGATCCTTCACCCGTACAAACCTCCCTTCCCCCAATCCTTGACAGCGTAACACCCCCACAACCGTTCATCTCATTGATGGGCAATGCACATTGCTGCAACACATCCCCACAGGTCAAAGTCGCAGCGGATGCCCTGACAAAAGGCCAGGGTCAAGGTGGCGGCCAGATTGAATATCGGTGCGTTCACTGTGCTGGGCAGCTGGGCAGCTGTGCTGTAAAGCAAGCAGGGCCTTGCTGTACTTGTGTAGCAGGTCTAGCAATCAAGCAAGCGCCACCTTCACTCACGATCCACACTCACACGCACGCACACACACACACACGCACACACATGGCAGGTTCAAGTTTGCAAAGATCTTTCCGCAAGAGACAACGCAAGATGATGTGTTTGAGACTGTTGGGCGGAAAGTGTGCGATCGCTTCCTGGAAGGATACAACTGCACCATCTTCGCCTATGGCCAGGTGAGGGGGCACCACAGTCTTGTTGGCTGTTCGCTTGCTAACCTGTCGCTCCTATAAAGGCTTCACAACCGTCTCAACGCCACATTGTGTGCGATTGTGTGTGTGTGTGTGTGTGTGTGTGTGTGTGTGTGTGTGTGTGTGTGTGTGTGTGTGTGTGTGTGTGTGTGAAGACGGGCTCAGGGAAGACATTTACGATTGAGGGCTCGTCCAAGTCGTTCAACGATCGCGGTCTCCTGCCGCGCTGCCTCGCATACATCTACCAGCACCTCAGAGGTCGTTTGCCTTTGTGCGTGTGTGTATCTGTGTTTTTTTGTGCGCGTGTGTGTGCGTGTGTGTGTGTGTGTGTGTGCATGCGTGTGCGTGTGTATCTCTGTGTCTCTGTATGTACGTGCGACACTGTCAAGCATCCTGCCTGTCTGTGTGCTTGTCTGTCGATCCAGCACCAGCCTTCATGCCACGTCCTCACCCCGTTGTCTCCACTCCACCATCCGTGCATCTGCTGGTGTGATGGCAGACCAGAGTGCGGAGGAGCCGCAGGTGGAGGTGACATATCTCGAGATCTACAACGACACCGCATACGATCTACTCAACTCCGCATCCGGCGCAAACGCCCGCCTGCCAAAGGTGAGCACGCGAAGGATGGTGCTCGTGATGATGATGATGATGATGATGATGATGATGATGATGATGATGATGATGATGATGATGATGATGATGATGATGATGATGATGATGATGATGATGATGATGATGATGATGATACCTCGTGTCTCACGCACACATACACACACCACACGCCATGCAACCATCTCCCCACCATCTCCTGCTTGCCAGGTTGCTGTGAGCGACCGGGGAACGTCTGTGCGTGTGCACAACTTGAGTGTGCACGCCGCGCCTACAGAGGATGTCGCACAGAACCTCGTCTTCATGGGTATGGATGGCGTGATGATGATGATGATGGTGGTGGTGGTGGTGGTGGTGGTGATGGTGGTGATGATGGTGGTGGTGGTGGTGGTGGAAGGGAGAGAAGCATCTATGGCTCTCTATCATTGCTCGCGCTCACGTTGCCACTCCGCGTCCTCTAACGCTCACACCACCACCACTGCCATCATCACCATCATCGTCGTCGTCGTCACCAGGGCGGGCCAACAGGACGGTTGCGGCGACCACGATGAACCTGACATCGTCGCGATCTCACTCGCTCTTCACCATCGCAATTGCATTCAAGCGCCCAAACTCAGACACCCTCATCAAGGCAAAGGTATTGTGTGTGTGTGTGTGTGTGTGTGTGTGTGTGTGTGTGTGTGTGTGTGTGTGTGTGTGTGTGTGTGTGTGTGTGTGTGTGTGTGTGTGTGTTGCTGCCTTTGCAGCACTGCCAAGGGCGCAAAACCTGTCTGATCAACACCCAATACAAACACATGTACGCAAATGCAATCCTTCCCATTCTCCTCCTCACCACCACCTCCCTAAACCGCCCGTCCCCCTCTACGCCATTACGCCAGTTGAATCTGGTTGATCTGGCCGGGTCAGAGCGCGTTGCGAAATCGCACGCGGCGGGACAGCAGTTGAAGGAAGCGAAACACATCAACCTCTCCCTCCACTACCTCGAAGCCGTCATCATTGCCCTCCAACACAAGGTCTGGCGCAGTTGAAGTGAGACGCTCGCGGGCGTGGTTCAATGTGGTCTACACGCCGATGCAAATTGTGTTTGCTTTCTGTTCCCGCACACATACATGTGTCACCGTGCTCGCCACGACTACCCACCGCGAATACTCACCAACCAATCACCAATGCCCAATCGCCATCACCAACCAATCACCACCACCTGCGCCAATGATCACCATCCATCGTCACCATCAGCACGCCAAGCGGCACGTGCCGTACCGCAACTCGCTGCTGACAAAACTTCTCCGCGACAGCCTGGGCGGCAACTGCCTCACTGCCATGATTGCCACCGTCTCAGCGACGCCAACCAACA